AAAAAATGCTCTAAATCACTACTGATTAGAAAAATAAAAATTAAAACAACTCTGCGTCTATCACATATCAGAAAGAGCAAGGGCTGGAGGAGAAGAAAATGAAAATAGTACACTAATGAATTGCTGGTGGAGTAGTGAACTGGTCCAACCATTCTGGAGAACAATTTGGAATTTTGTCCAAAGAGTTATAAAAGTATGCATACGCTTTGATCCAGCGATGCCACTACTAGGTCTGTATCCCACAGAGATCAAAGAAAAAAGAATAGGAACTACAAAAATATGTATAGCAGCTCTTTTGTTGTGGCAAAGAATTGGAAGTTCAGGGGATACTTACAAATTGGGAAATGGCAGAACAAGGTATAGCAGATGATTGTGATGGAGTACTGTTGTGCTATAAGAATTGATGAAGGGGATGGTTTTATAAAAAACATAGTAAGACCTATATGAACTGATGCAAAGTGAAGTGAGAAAAATTGTGAGATTGTTGTGCACAGTAAGAACAATGTAATGATGATGAACTGTGAAAGACGTGGCTACTCTGATCAATAAAGTGATTCAAGCCAAAAGACTTATGGTGAAAAAATGCTATTCATTTCCAGAAAGACAGAAATGCTGAACATTGAATGCAAATTGAAGTATAATTTTCTTAGTTTTTGCTTTTTTGAAATATAACTATTATGGACATATGATTAGCATGATTTCATATGTATAATGGATATCAGGGGGCATTTGGGTGGTACAGTAGATAGAGTGCTGGGCCTGGAGTCAGGAAGATGAGTCTTCCTGAGTTAGAATCTAGCTTCAGATACTTATTAGCTATGTGTTCTTGGGCAAGTCACTTAATCCTGTTTGCCTCAGTTTCTTCATCTGTAAAATGAGCTGGAGAAGGAAATGGCAAACCACTCCATTACCATTGTTAAGAGAACCCAAAATGGGGTCACGAATATTCAGACATGACTGAAAATGACTGAGCAACAATAAAAAATTGTATCGTATTGCTTGTCTTCTCAGTGAATAAGGTAAGTAGTGGAGAGGGAGAAAATGTGGAGCTCAAAATTTTTGAAAAGTGTTAAAATGAATAATAATTTAAAAAACAGCTTTATTCTTTTTTGCTTTGGCAATACAGCTTTTTCAATGAATGAGCACTTCTGGTATTTCTGACTCCATTTTCTTCTGTTTTGTATCTTTACTATTTCAATTAATCAGTAGAAATCTCCTAATAAGGAGATGTAGATACACGTGTGTGTGTGTGTGTGTGTGTGTGTGCGTGCGTGTGTATACACACGCACACGCGCACACACACACACACATATTCAAGTATCCACAGAATAAAATGGCATAGTTTATAGTGAAGTATATGGTAGTAGCAGTAGAGGATGGGGGAGAGGGTTGAGGAGCAAAAGGCTTCATGTAGAATGATAGTGTTTGAACTGAGTCCCAAAGGCAGTGATGGATTTTGTAAGGCAGAGGTGAGGAAAGAGTACATTCCAACACTAGTTGTAGGCCAGTGGAAAGGTTCAGAGATGAGATTTGGCATGTAGTGTTTTAAGAAGAAAGAAAGCCAGTTTGGCTGGATTTTGAAATATAGGAAAGGGAATATTGACCAAAAAGAAAGTTTGAAGCCATATTATGAAGGAGGGACAGGGTAAGCAGAACAGTTTATGCTTTACTTTAGACACAATGGGGAACCACTAGTGTTTTTTGAGTTGGGAAATGGCATGGCCAGAGCTATAATTAAGGACAATCATGTTAGCAGCTTTGTAGAGGATGGGTGAGAGTTGGGGGAGACTTAAGTCAGGGAGATCATATATAATAGATAAGAGACCCTGTCAAAGATATTTGATACAAAAAAATTCCTGGCGAGCCACTTTGTATTTTATAGTGTATAAGTAGTTTCACTGATTTTGTCCTTGTAAATTTTTTTAAAATGTAATGAGGATTATATATTTTTTATTTTGTAATTTCCTCTGTCACTTGCTTGTTAGAGAATTCTGCCTTTACCTAAAGCTCTGCTTTTCTTTTATGGTATAACTTTTAATATTCAAATTGTATATCAATTGGTATAAGAACTTGGTCTAGACAACTTTGAAGGATTTGAGAACCCCAATTAATGCAATGACTGATTATAATTCCAGACAATTGATGATGAAGGACATTACCTACCTCATGAGAGAGAGGTTACTTACTCAGGTTATAGGAAAAAAGGTAAATGCAAGAATTTGTTTCTTGTGTATGCATATTTGTAATAAAGATGTTTTTTCCCTCTCAGATTAGTAGATGGGAGAGAAAATCAGTTTTTGTTAATTGAAAAAGCTTAAATTTAAAAAACAAGATGTTAATCTAAATTAAATTTTTGTCAAAGTGCTTTCCATCTTTAAAGCAATTCCAGCAAAATAGACAATAATTCCTGAAATAATTTATATTCTTTGATGTATTGATTACTAGATTATTGAATTCATTTGTTGATGATTCTTCTTTAGATTATTCTACTGATCTACTTTTTTTTAAACCAATACCAAGTGGTTTTGATGACAACCATTTAATTATGTAATTTGAAGTCTGGAAGGACCATTCCTTCTTCATTCCGTTTTTTTTTTTTCAGATTCCGTCTCTTTTGTTCTTTCTCCATGTGAATTTTTTTATTTTGTCTAGCTCTATAAATTATTGCCTTGGTAGTTTGATTGGTATGACATTAAATCAGTAATTTAGGTAATATTATTTTTCTTTTGTTAGCACAGGCCAAATATGAACTGTTTTCTAATTAAGTCACATTTATATCAATCTTGAATCTGCTTTGGTAGATTGACCAGTCAAGCTTAAACAACTTTTAAAAAATGTGGACATATTGGATATAGTGCAATACATTGCCAAAAAGTTTTTGGAAAAATATATTTTTTAGTCATTTTAAAGGATAACTGATTATCTTTCCTGGGTAGTTTGTTGCATGTCTGGCTGCTCACAGGGAGATAAACAAGATTAGGATTCACTACCTTTGATCTTTGACAGGCTAAAAAACCCAGGAAATAATCTCTTCCTTTTCCTCTTACTTGCTGTACCTTCCCAACTTTCTCTGTTACCCACATCTTCCTAACATCAGCCTGCAGAATGAAAAGGACAGGCAAGACTCATTTTGATGAAGTAACAAGATAATGTATCTTTTTTATTCTATCCCTCAGCATAGTGCCTGGCAAAAAATAGACCTTTAAAATACCTCTTGATTGGTTATGACAAATACATTATCAATTTTTGTAAGAAATGAAATTATAGGACTAAATACATTGTACTAATGAGTTTAAAAAGCCATCTCTAGAACCATCTGGATGCCTCAAAAACTAGTCTTTGAGAACCACTGAACTGTAGTATTTTCCATGATCCCTAAGACCGCTGTTTTAGCATACCTATACTTAATGGTCCTTTAAAAAAAAGGGTTCCAGATTATTTTCAATTATTGTGTCACTGTTTTCACAAAAGAGGCAATGTTAAATATGATTTAAACATATGCACATAAAAGCTTCTTTAATTGTTATTGATAATGTTAAAACATTGTTTTTCCTCTCTGAAAGAACACTTCTGTTCAAAAGATGCCTGCCCAAGCACTGAATTTTCTATTGTAGATTTTTTTAAATTGTGGCTTTTTAAAATAAATTTTGAAGAATAAGAATTTGCCTCAGTAGACGCTAGAAATTTTTCAGTTCAATAAATTATATATCCTTCTTCTTCTCTTCATGCACATGGCCACAACTATAGGTCAGGTCCTCATCATCTCTTGATTGTAATAGTAGCCTCTTAATTAATTTTTTATCCTTAATCTTTCCTTTCTCTAATCTGTCTTCTATAATCTGCCTTCCAAATCTTGCTTAGAGCATATATACGACTATGTCATTCTCCAGATCAAAAATTTAGAGTAAAAATCTTCCATTTTATATGAGATTTAAACAAAAGCCTTCACTTCACATTGTCTTATCTTAAAGATTTATTCCACCAAGTAGTATTCAGCCCAAATGATTTATATGGAAATTTTCCAAGACAACTCTTATATTTCTTCTTTCTGTTTCTTCCTTTAATTCTTGTTTTCAGCTTATATTGTACTTTGGTAGTTTGGAATGGACATATTTAAAAGTAACTTGACAAATTAAGAATTTAGCTTTAAGTGGACATTTATTTAGCCATTTCTCTTATAAAACAAAATACAATCATATATAAACACCCAGCAGTACAAAACGTATAACTTTCAATTTATGTTTTGCATATGGAAACTAGTTCTGCCAATGTTAATAGTCCTATGTTGATAAATCTGTTTCTCAGAACACATCACCTTGAGTTATTGTGTGGTCTTCTGAAAGCTTTGGCCTACTTATTTAGATGATGTAAAACATAACTACTTAGCACTTTTATTTTTTCTTGAACTTCTACAATCCTAAAAGGCTAGTATACTGTAAAACTCTGCTTGGCATTCAAAGCCCTTTACAACCTAACCCCTCCCCATACCTTTCCAGTCTTCTTATACTTTAATCCCTCCCACATACTCTTCAGTCCACTAACACTGGCTTCCTTGCTGTTCCTTTCATAAGATAGTCTATCTCTCCATATCTTCCCATTCTAAGCATTTTCAGTGGCTGTCCCCTCCATGCCTGGAATTGTCTCCCTTATCATCTTCCCATCCTGGCTTTCTTCGAGTCCCAGCTTTAAATCTTGACTTGTACAAGAAGCCTTTCCAAATCTCTCTTAACTAGTGCCTTCCCTCTGTTGATTGTTTCCAGTTTATTCTGTATATAGATTGTTTGTACACAGTTGTTTGCATGGTGTCTCCGCCTTAAGATTATGAGCTCCTTCAGAGCAGAGACTACCTCTTGTATTTTTGTTTTTGTATCCCCAATGCCTAGCACAGTGCCTGGCAAATAGTAGACACTTACTAAATATTTATTGACTGATTTGACTAACATTCACTTTTATGTTTCAATATGTTAAAAAGTAATACATTATTTTGAATTCTTAAATAGTATGAATCTTGAAGAAGAGTTGGATCAACTTAAAGTTTTTAGATCTGTCGAAGTAGCTAAAATGCAAGAAGCGAATGCATATCTGGAACAAGAAAGAGAAGGTAAATTAATTATATTAAATGAACACACAGACAGACAGACAGACAGACACACACACACACACACACACACACACACGCCTTTATTATCTACTCATCCCTTTCATGGACCTTTTCTTTTTCAATGAGTCTGGTTTCCTTACTCTTCTCCCCACATCTTGTCCCTTTGTATGTGCTGTCTTTCTGTCTCTCTTCTGCAGTTCCCTTTTTATTCGTTTATATTTTCATTTTCCTACAAGGCCCTTCTGAAGTTCCACTTTTTTCTTGAATTTTTCCTAGCCCAAATCAGTTTTTTTTCTGTAATTCCTATTGCACTTTTTGTTTCTACTAAATAGCATTACATATTATCATATCTACCAATTCTTGTTTAAATGGTTTATATCTGCCCATAGATCATAAATTCTTTGTGGATAAGAACTGTGTCTTGCACTTTTTTTGCTCCATATTACCAATAATTGTCCTTAATAGAATGTAGTTCATGGATGGTTAATTAATTAAATCAAAATATCGTATTTGTCTAATCTACCAGAGGACTTTGAGGAGGTAGACAAAAATGCAGATGAAGGAAAGCCAAAGAATGTAATTCATTTAGACTTACAAATTCTCATGGTAAGATTCCACAACAAAACAGTTTTTAAAAATTGAGTCACCATGGATTCATGGTAGTTTTTTAATATTGAGACTTGGCTCACAGATAGAGAAAATGTAAATAGTGATAGATAGATACTATCAACATGTCAATGCATGGAGAAATAGGAATAGTGGAACTCACCAAAGATTGCTTCTGGAATGTATATGTTAATTTTTATATGATTTGTCTGAAAAAGGAGTTCACAATGCCTTATCCGGGTCTACAGATGATATTAAGGGCTTGTGGATAGTGAAATGCAGTAAAATTTTGTGAACCTGTTTGTAAGTGAGACAAGAAACAAAAACATTGCTGTAAGTAAGGGTTTAAGTAATAAATTTAGAGTTATCTAATCCAAATTTTACTTACACGGTGGTAGCCTTTTCCCAGTTAGGGGAGGGGAAATAGGAAAGTGAGCTTTAGAAAAGGGGAAGGAAATTCAGGAGAGGATGGTGCCATGAAAGTCATATTGAGAAAAAGTCTGAAGATCAGTAGTGTTAAGCATCAGAGGAAGTAAGGACAAAGGTAGGAAAGATAAGAATTACTTGTTCTGATTATAAGGACATCTTTAATGATATTAGGAGCAATTTCATTGAAGTGATAGGACAAAGAAGCCTTGTTGTGGAGAAAAAGTTGCATTGGGAAGAAAGAAAATGGGATAAGTAGTAGTAAAGGTTTAGAGACAATTTAGAATTAGTTAAACCTTTTTTTGGTCTGAAAGAAAGGAGAAGATAGGATAATAATCCGTAAAGTGAAAATTATTGCTTCTATGCTGAAGAAAATAAAAACAGTGGAAGCTGAGATTTGTATGTCATAATTTCCTTTAGAGCAAGTTGATAATTCTGGTGCAAGTTCTGTCCTAGGTTACCCTGGGTCCGTCATTGAATAGCTCTTAAATCAAGAGTCAACAAGTGTCCTTTAGATTTAGAATAATATGGATCAAGACCTTAAGGTTTAGACCTGCCATGCTGTCAGAAAAACCTGGAAAGACATACATGAGCTGATGCAAAGTAAAATCTTCTGTGAACATAGTAACAGCAATATCATAAGATGATCAGCTGTGAATGACTTAGCTATTCTTAGCAATACAATGATCCAAGACAATTCTGAAGGACTTAAAATGAAAAATGCTATCTGTCACTAGAGGAGGAACTAATGGTGTCTGAATATAGATTGAAGCATACAGTTTTTACCTTATTTTTCTGGAGGTTTCTTTTGGGGGGTCTATGTGTTCTTTCAAAATGTGATATTATGGAAATGTTTTGCATGACTACACAAGTATAACCTATATCAAATTGCTTGCCTTTTCAACAGGGGTGAGATGGTGGGGAGGGAGGAAGGGAGAGAATTTGGAGCTCAAAGTTATAAAAACGAATGTTAAAAATTGTTTTTACATGTAACTGGGGAAAAATAAAATCCTAAAGAATTAAATGAAAGTTTTTAAAAAAAGAATTGGATCATCCCTCAATAATAGGAATGAAGAACCCCCAGAGAAAAGGCTGTTCAATTTCATTCATTCTTTTACCTGTCATCCTCTATATTGGCAAAGGTGAAACCATTCCTTGAGTTTGTTGTTAACCAGGGATGAATCTTCCAGTTTTTGTTTTATAGTTTTGCCATGCCTAGCCTAGAAATATTAGATTTTAATGTAATAATTCAAAAGTTAAAATTTTCATTGTTACTATTCTACTTCTGATTCTAGAAGTCATTGTGGAATTATGATAATTCCCACACGTTCTTTACAATTAAAGCCTAAGAGAGCTAGCCTTGTATTGCTTCTCCTGACCAGCTTGCTTCGTGTGAGTTCTCCATAAAATCGTTTTTAGGCAGACATGTTTGACATTTGAACAATGTGGCTAGCCCATTGGAGTTGCACTCTGCAGTAGAGTTTGAATGCTTGGCAGTTCATCTTGAGAAAGGACCTTACTGTCCAGTATGTTATCCTGCCAGGTGATCTTCAGAATCTTCCTAAGACAATTCAAAAGCAAGTGATTCAGTTTTCTGGCATGGCACTGGCATACTGTCAAGGCATGCAACAATGAGGTCAGCACAAAAGCTCTGTACACCTTCAATTTGGTAGGCACCCTGATATCTCTTCTCTCACACTTTCTTTTGGAGCCTCTCAAACACTGAGCTAGCTGTGGCAATGCATGCATCAACCTTATAATCTGTGTCTACATCCCTAGAAAGTATACTGCCAAGGTAAATGAACTTAATCTACAGCATTCAAAATTTCTGCATTTGATGTAACTCATGGTTCCACATATGGATGGTGTGGTGCTGGCTGGTGGAGAACCTCTGTTTTCTTGGTGTTAATTGTCAGGTCAAAATTAGCACAAGCAGCAGAAAATTGATTCATATTCAGTTGCATCTCAGCCTCAGAGGCTGCACTGAATGAACAATCATCTGTGAACAAAAAGCAGTGCATGAACTCACCCTCCACTTTATTTTTGTCTTGTAGCCTTTTTGAGTTAAATAATTTTCATCAGTGTAGCAGCTGAACTTGATGCTATTTTCATCCTCATTGAAGGCATCTGAAAAACGTTGCTGAAACCTCTCAAGGTCTCTCTGAAGAACTTTGGAATTGACTATGAGACATGAGAGACACTGGCACAGGACTGCCCAGTATGGTGTGCCCACATCAAAGAAGGCACTGTCCTCAGTGAGCAAAGCAGAATTGCAGTAGCTTAAAAGAAACAGAAGCTGTTCAAATTTAGAGATATCACTACTCCAAATGTTCAGATGCACTATTTGTGCCTAATCTGTTATAGAGCCTTCCAAGCTCATTGGTCTGATCAGCTACAGTCATACATATTGTGCCTTGACGCTGACATAGAGTTGTTATTTTGGTTCTCTTTGGGCACAAAGGACAACAGTTAACTAACAGCAGAACCTAGTGCAGTATCTTGAATACAGTAGACACAAATAAATACTTGTTGATTTGATTTGTAGAAATTAGGAAAGAGGACTAACTTTGTTCCATAGATATGACTCCAGATGATTGTGATGTAGCATTTATTTAATTTATTTACTTTTATAGCAGTTTATTTTAACAAGCTTTCATTTAGTTGATTTTTAAAAATATGTCGTTTCAGTGGTTTTATTTGTTAGTGGTTCTGCAGCATCTGTTTTAATATATTTGATTATTATTTTGTTCTCTGGCTTATTCACTTTGAACCCAGAAACATCTTGATTTTAAGACAAGTAAGTGGTAAATATTGTACCCAGAAATACAGTAGGCTTCTAGATAGCTAAATATGCATAAAGATGAATATTATTTGCATATCATATTTGTGCATTGCTTTTAAAATGTTGTAAATATATTCAGTACCACTGTTAGGGGACTATAATTAAAAACAAAACAAAAATAAAAACAAGGGAGCTAAGAGAGTACTATCAAGGTAAAGGTACATATTCCCTAGATGAAGAGTTCTCCCTTTTTTAGCTTTTGTTATTCGTAGAATAGTGTTCCATTTATTTCACGAACACAGAAGTTTTAATTGAGTATGGCATGTTCCAAAGACAAAAGAAATGCCTAATTTATTCTAACAAATTTATAATCGCTGTTTAAACCAAGATGATTGTTACTGTATGGTGAATAAAACTATTTTCTCATTCTCCTTTGTTGATAAATCAGAGTTTTCATTGGCCTAAAATATCTAAATATTTTAAAATTATATCTTTAAACAAATATTCTCAAGGAAACATTAATACCTATTCCTGTAGTCTAATTCAATTTCATCTTTTCCCTTTATTTTTGAAAGATTTACTATTCCCTAAAATTATTGAACATGAAAAAATTTTTGACAACAGTGGTTTACGTAATATGCAAATATAACAGCTCAATCAATTCTGGTCCCCTTTAATTTTAGTACTTATAACAAAGATTTTCAGGGTTTTTTTTTAACTTTGCAAATTATTTTGTTAATAGTAAATTTTGTATTTGTCAGGAAAAGGTTAGCTCCTTTTTGGCATGTTTTGTAGACATTAGTTCACTCTGCCATTTGAGTTTCTAATTGTTATGAATTCACAGCTTTGCAGGAAAATGACTTCTGTGATTTATCCTGTAGAGTACATGATCTTTCACTTAACAAAAATGGTTTAAAGTTTCAGTCCGTCCTAATTCTCTATTTGCTTTGTTGAGCAATCACTTTCATCCTCCTGGCAGGGAATAAGACCCAAAGAACAAAACTAGTAGTGACTATATAGATAAAATGGAAATGAATTCTGCTTTTAAAGCAAAGGGGGAATAGTCTATAAAAGAATGAAAGTGAGAATAAAAGTATAACATCTTTAACCTGCAGATCTATTGTGCCTTTGAAAAGCTTGTACTGCAGGAAAAAAAAACATACTGTGATACTGCAAAGATCCATAATTATGTGACCCAAAGCTGAGGAAGAGGTCACTATGCAACCACTGGCTGAAGACTTGACAAGAAAATAAGACTACATATTCATAATTGAGAAATTTTAGAACTTATATACAGAATATGACACAGTGATATTATAGTGTAATATGTGGCATAATATGTTATTTATTCTCTGCCAGAATTACTCTATAAACTTTGTGAAAATCAGGAATTCAAGAATGATGCATCAGAGAAGAAGCTGAAACGAAAGTCAGATGAGACATTGCAGAAGGTATATTAATCTTTACTATAGAGCTAAGCAAGTTAAATTTAAATGTTAACATAAAGGATTATGTTATTTTAAACTAGAGCTCATTAATTTAAACTTTTTTGGTAGTACTTAATTTTAGTTCACTGGCTTGGTTTGCCAAAACTGGGTCAAAAATCGGTGAGTATGGAATAAATGTGGAGACAATTGTACTTATGTGTGGCTAGATTAAAATATTTTAGAGTGAAAGAAATGAAAGCAATAGATATAAAAATTAAAATATAATATTTTCTTACTATTTATAGTTTAGGAACAAGAATAGAGACTGAACCTGCAATTTCATTGGGATCGGAACTGAAACTGCTTCTACCAGTATAGGCCTGCACCTTCCCTGCAACTTAAAAGTCTTAGAGAGTTGCCCAAAGCACCAAGAGGTCAAGTGACTGACTCAGGGTGCCCACAGCTTGTATGTGTCTAAGAAAGGACTTTACCTCAGGTCTTCCCAGTATTGAAGCTAACAGTTGATCTACTGTAGCACATCGCTTCGGGTATAGCTCAGATATTTAAACTGGTAAAGTTAGATTTCTTTATGCTATGCAATATTAAATGTGGAAACATCTAACTTCTAAGCCAAAGAAGAGTTATGCAGAGATTTTAAATTTCATATTACAATTTCATTGTATGCTTTTTTGATTTTTAAATATAAATTATTTGCACAAAGTAAATTACTTTGAATTCTGTAGTTAAAATCTACTCATAAGTTCATCATTTACTTTTAATTTATAATGAGCATCCCACTGACTATGTAGTAGGCCTAACATTAACAGGCAGGTATTGTTATGAGCTTTATCATTTAACAAGTAAATATTATGATTCATATTTATGTTTTAAATCATATTTTGATACACAAGCATGTTATGTTAACAGATGTTCACTTAAGGGGCTCAGTTGTATTTTGCCATATGTTTTGTTTTGTAATTTAAAAAAATCATTCTTTAAACACACTTACTCTTTAAATGGATTGTCATTTGACCAAACTGGATTAACTTTGCTTCTTAGAAATCTTTCACACCAGGCCACACCAGGAGAACATATAATAATACAAGAACATATAATCTAAGATGTAAGTATGGTTACATCTATTTTCCTGTATTTTTGGACTAACGTCTAATAATTTACAGCAGATATGATCACATATACTTACAACACTTGCCATATGGTCAGGTAACAAAGGCTGTCATCTCGTTATTACTGAATGACAAACATTATGTTAAAGTATTAGCAAGAAATACTCACATTCATTTATCTTAAAGTAGAATGTGTAATTGAAATTATTTCATCACTAACATCTAGGATGTCATATAGTTTATAGTAGCTTATCATTTATGTTTAAAAAACATAAGTTTGTTTGCCAGGTTCAGTATGGTATGTGTCTCTATGGATATATGATACCACACTGCAGCCTTGGGGTATAATTCCAGGTGAATTTATTTTTTATTTTACCATAAATACCTTAAGTGTTAGAAGTATAAAAATCAATTTTAAGTTCTAAATAACTAATAAGTTTTTTTTAGTTGGGCCATGTTTCATATTAGCATGTTAACTTATCACTACCATACTGTTAAATGAGATTAATGGAATGATCATAACTTTCTTTTAGATAGTTTCCCCTATTTTACAGTAGCACCAACTACTTTGACATAGCCATTAATGCCTTATAGAAGAAATCCAGATTGGTTCAGAAAGAAAAGAGCAGAACTGGTCAGGACTGAAGTATAGTTTTTATCTGGGAGAACTGAAATATATCAATTATTGTATTTTTTAATCAGTAGAGTAACATTTTGAATTATGCTTTATCAAGTGATTTATTTTAAATAAAAGTTTCTACATCTTTCCATGATAATAATTTATTTAAAAATTTTAGTTAAGGAAAAATTGAACATGAAATATTTAAAGAAAATACATATTTTGTTTGCTCTCCACTTGGAATTTCTCTTTGATATTTTAGATGCTTTACCCCAGAAGCCAAGTGATTATTCTTTCAGTTCCTCCTTCATCCTTCTTTTCTAAAAAAAATTGATATCTACTTCACTTTTCATTGTATTTTGAAGCCAGTCTGTTGATAGCATCTACTGGGAACTTCAGTGTGCACAACATTATATTAGAACCTATGAAATGTTCCTTGCACTACTAGTTCCCAACCTTCTCAAGTTTGAGGACCCCTTTATAACATCAAAAGTTTTCTCAGATCTTTATATGGCAATGCATGTAATATGAATATTCATTGATAAAGAAAATACAGGACAACACTAATTTGATTTTAGTAACACTTCTAAATGAACTTATTTTTTAAATAATTATAACATCTATATTCATATTTGAGACATTCAGTCAATAGGATATGTGTTTCCTTATTTATTATCTTGAATTAGTTAATGAAATGGAAGTGGTATTGCTGGGTCAAAGGGTATAAACCACTATATGGATTCTTGAGGGATACTGTTTCAGTTTTGATCTCTTTTCCATCCTCACATTTTTATAAGAAAATTAAAGTAATACAATCATTAACTTTATATTCCTGTATAGTTTTGGCTATCTATAACTTGTTATCAACTTATTTAAGCTTTATAAAGAAAATTTTTAAAAATTTTAATACACCTACCCTTGACTTTTAACTGGTGTGTAAAATATCAATCAGTCCTTTACAAATTAAAAAAAAATTCTAATTTAATTTTAAAAATACTAGTTTTGTGGTTTGGAATTATGATTTCATTGGTATATGAGATTCCCAGTAAGAAAATACCTACCATGCAGTCTATCACCTTCTCAGCATTTTGTCTTGAACCAGGGGTTCTTAACCTTTTCTGTATGATGGACCTCTGTCAATATGGGAAAATCTATGGCTGACTTCTCAAAATAATTTTTAAAAAGCATAAATAAAATATAGGTTATTTTAAAAGAAATCAATTATATTGAAAAAGTTATCAAAATATTTTTATAAATTATTGGACCTCAGAATCCCCATCTTCAACAGTTGTATGGGTTACAAAGAAGGAAAGGATCTTGCCCAATGTCACATAGGGAATATGTGAGAAAGGTGGGATTTGAACCTAGGTCAGCTCTCTATCTACTCTGCCTCCTTTTTTGTAACTTTAAATTAAATTTGACTTGCTTATGTTCATGCTTAGTAAATGTCAGACTTAGGATCATAGATTTAGAACTGAAAGGGAACACAGATGCATAGAATCCATTTTTTACATTGTACATATAAGGAAAATAGGGCACAGAGAAATAAGGTGACTTGCCCAGTGTCACACATCCATTATGTCTTCCTGACTGAAAGACAAGGCCTCTTGTATCGTCAGCATTATCCACAAGCATTTGTTAAGCACCTCGTGTGTGCTAGAAACTGTGTCAACCACTGGGGAATACAAGGAATGTGAAAAACAGGGTCACTTTACTCAAGGATCCCACATTCTAATGGGGAAGACATTCAAACAGTTATGTACATACATGTTATATACAGTGTAAATGAGAGTTAATCTCAGAAGGAGGGCAGTTAGTGGATAGAATGGGGAGTTAAGGAGGAGATTCTTGCAGAGAGTAGGATTTGAGCTGAATTTTGAGAAAATCCAGGAGGCATAGGTGAAAAGGGAGAGCATTCCAGAGATGGGGACAGCCACTAAAAAGCCATAAAGTTAGAAGACAGAGTGTCATGTATAAGGAATAGCAAGAAGGCCAGGGTCACCATATCCTAGAGTGTATGGAAGGCAATCAAATAAAAAATTGTAAATGTAGGAAAGAACTAGTTAGCAGAAGGCTTTACAGGCTATTTTGTATTTGATCTTGGAGGTAATTGAGAGCCAGACACAGGAGTTTATTGAGAGAAAGAGAGAGAGAAAGAGAGAGAGAGAGAGAGAGAGAGAGAGAGAGAGAGAGTGTGTGTGTGTGTGTGTGTGTGTGTGTGTGTGTGTCTGTTGGGAAGTGAGAAGGGATGACATGGTCAGACTTATACTTCAGAGAGATTTTTCCCTATACCACATGGAATTTTTTCCCAATTCCCTGTCAGCAATTCAACATGATTGATTGAATGTAATGCAAAAAATAATAAAGGAGTAATATTATAGAAATTTGTGTATTAGAAGTTATATCATATTCCTTATCAGTAATATAATTTTGGAATTACTATTGTTACCAGTATTACTGACTTCTCTGATTTTAGCCTATTAGTAAGCGATCAATTTTCTTTTTAGGGACATTATTTTAAAAATAAATTAGAAGCCAGTCTTTTTTTTTTTTTAAGCACTTAGTAATGGAAATTCTGGAAATAGGTATGGTTCTTTTTTTGCACATGTTCTTTTTCACGTATATACTAAGAGTAAATTTAGTGGCCTCTAAAATACTTGACTTAATGCATCTGAGTACATTTAGAATCCTCTAAAATACTTTGATAAATTCATTATACTTTCTTGGAGAGAGGCAGTCATGGGATAGCCAATAGAGAGCTGGCCTTAAATCCAGGAAGACACATGTTGGCTGCGTGAACCTGAACAAGTTACTTAACTCTTAGTGATGTAAACAGCTGTCTAAAAGGTAAAAGAGAAGGTATTGACTTGAGATGATAGAGGGAGTTTCTTGTATCAATGAAATCAAGTTTAGTTCTTACTCTTATTTGAGAGATTAGTTTACATTATGTTGAACTGGCCTTTATTATTCTATTTTATACTTAATCATCTACTATTGATAAGAATAATGGTAAAAATTATATCCTGCCATGAAAAAAATGTTCATTTCTTATTCTGTGGTAACCTAAGAAGTGAAGGGTTCAACCTCTTCAGACCTTAGCAAAGCATCACTAAATTGAACCAAAATACATTCAGCCTTTCTCATCTGTGATGGCAAGATAAATCTAAAATCATTTGCCTTTAATTACAAAATATTTGCATTGGCTTTTTCAAATATAGGTTTACCCAGCTTGCAGTAATCAGGAGTTGATTTAATTATCTGGCAAAACAGACATTTTAGACAACCAATACCAACAATTTAGACAGATGACTTTGGGGAGGAAACCCTAGTTACCTAATTAATCTCATATCTGTCCTCTGTATTTTAGCTGTTAGACTAAACTTTCTGAATTCCAGAGAAAAAGTAGCATTCTGTAGTACCTAACTAAGCCAAAATGAGAAGCATTGTACACCGTGGTTAGGACATAGGACTTTGTGCCAGAAAAACTTGGGTTCAAATCCTTAGACACATGTTAGCTGTGTCATCCTGGGAAAGCCACTTTATTTCTCCTTTCTTTTACTTTTCTCCTTTGTAAAATGAAGGAGATGGATTTGATGGTCTCAGAAGTTTCCCTCTAGTCTCAATCCTTTGTCAGAGCAGAGTAAAAAGGAACTATCAAATGTGTCTTCCCAGCTAGAAAATATTTAAAAAGAAAATATGTCCAAGAAATGTTGTGCAGTATTAGAAAGAAGTAAAGATATTTGAGTGCCTTTTAGAAAATTATTAAACACCATTGAAATCATCTTTATTTTTAAGATGTATTAAATTTTGAATCCAATCATTTTGTCAGCTTTGCAGCCCATGACTTAAATGTTCAAATTCATGTAAGCTTTATTTTATTTTTTGTTATTTATGTCTATGCTTTCAAATTATGTTGCTTGTATAGATAATTTTTCCATTGTGAAAATATTGTTCATAGTGAATTGTATGTATAGCCAAAGTAGTATCAGTCTCAGAATATATTAGCAGTATCTATTAACTTACTTAGACTTCTGTTTCACTTTATCTAGAATGTTATTACCTTCTTTTACCATTTACTTACTCTTTGCCAAACAGATGTAGCTTTTTATGTTAGAATGTATTCATCTATGTTCCCTTACAGTTATTTATTCATTAAGCAATCTAGATTGATTTTGACCTTCTGGTAAAGGTAACTTTATTTTCAGAAACTAAACATTTTAAGTTACAATGTTCTCACAATTCTGGATTTAACAAGGAAAAAAATTAAATCATATGCACTTTTGTTTTAGGTTATTGTTTTGGAAAAACAATTGAAGGCTTTTGAGAAAAAGTCAAGGAAATTGAAAGAAGCAAATAAAAAGTTAACTAAAGAAAATGACGTAATGAAATCTTCCTGTAAACAGCAGCAAGATGATGCAAAAGCAAAAGAAAAAGAGCTAACCCATCTATGGAAAGAGAAGGAAGATGTGGAAAAAGACAGAACTATTCTTGAATTCAAGATCAGGGAGCTGGAGATGGAAATCAAGGCCCTACGAAAGCAAGTAGTGGAAGTCAAATCCCTGAAGGAACAAGTGGCAGAAGTCAATTTTATGAAGGAAAAAATGGTGGAAATTGAGATGAGAAAAGAAAATGAAAAGCTGAGGAATCACGTACAAGAAGTGGAGGACACAAATCAAATTCAGAAAGTTCATAGAATTCAGGAGATGCAGGGGATGCAACGGATGCAAGAGATGCAGCAGATGCAAGATATTCCTCATATAAAGGAAATGCAGTCAGTACAACCACGACAGCCAATTCAGGCACCACTATGGCCACCCAAACAGCCTCTAACACAGCTACCAGCTCAGCTACCAACTCAGTTTCCAGCTCAGCTGCCTGCACCGTTTCCAGCCCAGCTACCAACTCAGTCTCTAGTCCAGCCACCAGAACTGCTTCCAGTCAAAATGCAGCTACCAGCACAGTCTCTAGTCCAGCTGCAAGAGGAGTCAGTTCACCGGTACCAGGGCAAAGCTATGCCCAAGAAGCCCACTCTAAAAGTGGTGAGCACTGAACAATCTAGACAATGTAAGACAACTACCACCAAGGTTAAATTTAAAGCAGCCAAGAAAAAAGGTGCCACGGGACGTCCCCAGGCTTTTCTCAATCAGTCCATCAAGGTTATGAGCAATGTGTTTGAGAACTATAAGGACGACTGGGAGGATGTGAGTGAAAGCAGGTACGGCTCTCATTAACTTAGCTCTTTGGAGGGGACAGTGTGCATATGTAAAGCACTAGCAAATGGAGATTGAATTTCAACTACTGTCGATTTGGTATTCAGAAAAAATACTGTCAGATCCTTTGAAATATCTTGGGAGGTCTTGTTCTGAGCTTATTGACTGAAATTTGCATGCAAAATTAGCCACAACTGCATGAGTATTTGAATAGGTGCCAGGAAGCCCAAAAGAAGGCAATGCTTGATTTCTTCCAGTGATGCTATTTTCATGCAGTCATGAGGCTTGAAATTGACAGTTTGGCAGGTTGATTTAATTTGCTGGCCCTTTGCATATTCACCACTGACAGCTAAGGATTCCCAGGCAAGCCTACTAAGTCGGTTTAGTTATCTTGTGACATGCCGACCCAGGAGGAGAAACATTTTTTCCTTCTTAATTTAGTTAGATAAATTTTGAATGACCCATTTCAGCTTGTTACCAGATGTCTACAAGCTGTTTAACATCCTTTAAATTAAGAACCATCTTCACTAATTATTTCATGTATGTTTTATGCACAGTCATTGTACTAACTTTAATTGAATGATGGTAAAAAAATTAGTTCTTTAAAGTTATCTTGGTGTAACTCCCCAGTCTTGAATCATATAGGCCCCAGTGAAAGGCAGCAGGAATGCACTAAAGATCTGTAATGTTTCCTTCTCTAATCTTTGTCCATATATGTATCTATCTATTTCTATTTCTATACCTGTGTCTGTCTGTCTATCTATCTATCTGTCTGTCTGTCTATCTATCTATCTATCTATCTATCTATCTATCTATCTATCTATCTATCTGTCTGTCTGTCTATCTATGCACAATAAATCCACAAGGGCAAATGAGTAGGGTTTTTTTATTACCTTTGTTCATCACTTTTATTTTATCCTATACTCAACATGAATAACAGATTTGAACTCTAATTTTTCACACTATTTCAAAGGAACCAGTTTTTAATACTATATGTGTAGCTTTTAAAATGTACTTTAGTTCTTTAAAACTTATTGCTGGTGTTGGCCAATTTTATCAATTTTGGTATCACTATGGGCCATTTTGTTAAAGTTGTTCTTTATAGAACCATAGATTGCAGATTTGAATATATCATCTGGTTCAGCTTTCTATGTTCAGGAAGTGAAATATTAGAAGAAAAAAGACTTGCAATTTTCTGTATGACTTTAGACAAGACAATTATTTTTTTTTCCTCAGCTTATTGCTGTGTAAAAGTAAGTTGGACTAGCTATTCTGTAAAGTCCCTTTAGCTCAGAATTCCATTATGAAGTGCACAATTCACAATTTTGCCTATCTTCCTGGAAAAGCATTAAATTTGAGATTGGGTGAGATCCCATCTTATTCACATCTCAACTAGGAATTATCCTTCATCTTTAAGGTATATTTCAATTTTAATTGTTCATAATTCCTCAAGATTTTGGTACCTGTGCCTTCATTCTATAAATGATATATTTTATGTTTGTTTATATATATATAAATACTGTGCATGTAAATATGTGCATTCATATTTTCACGCTTTACAGGAAAATTAATTAACTGCCTGCTCAGTTCTAATACACATTTATATGTACACATACTTGAGTAAATGCATTACATTGTTCTTCCTTTTTTATTTGGACTTGTCACTTAAGTTCTTTAGCAATGGAACTTGACTACACTATGAGAATTAAGTGTTATATTTACTGCATGACAAAACACTTCTGTAAAACACTGGGCTGCAAAGAATTCTCACACAATTAGATCCCAAAGTAGAACTTCATTGTCTTCAGAATATTCTCCTTCTTACAGCTTTTTATAGTCGATGAAACACAATATGGGCAATTTGGTTGCACAGTGGATAGAGTGCTGGACCTGAAGTCAGAAGGATGAGTTCAGATCTGGCCTCAGATAGCCACAGTGACCCTAGGCAAGTTACTTAACTTCTCTCTGCCTCAGTTTCCTTATCCATAAAAGGAGGATAATAATTTGTGACTACTGTCTAGGATGCTTGTGAAGATCAAATGAGATAATATTCATAGAACATATAGCAAAAATTTAAACCCTACATAAATGTTAGACATTATTATTAGCTATTATAAGATACTTTGAGCACTTCCTGTATGCCAGACATTAAGCTAAGTGCTAGGAATATAAATACAAACAAAAATAAAGACAATCTCTTCCCTCAAGTAGCAAAGAGCCCATTACATGAAGGTAGAGAGAAAAATGAACAATTCCTCCTTTTCAAAAAAGGAAGACGATTGATAGATAGGCTTGAGCATATGATATACAAATCAAAACCTAAAGAAATAGTTTTAGATCAAGCAGACATCACTCTAACAACTGGTAATTAAGTTTCCTAACTTTGGATTTGTCAAATGTAACTGAAAATGATTTAGCCCCACACAGAGTCCTTAAGACAGCCATAGTCCAAGAAGGGAATGAAAAGTTCTTCTATGGGTAGCATCCTCATGAACTCAGCCATGCCAATTTGTTTATGAAAATAAAGAGTTTTATGGTGACAATTCAGGTCTAGGTCATTATATCAGAAATCACATAATGGTTATCCTTAAGTCTTCCTTTAAGTCTCAACTAAAATCTCACCTGAGGAAATCTTCCTCAATCCCTCTGAATTCCAGTGCTTTCCCTTTGTTAATCATTTCCTCTTTATCCTGAATTTAGCTTGCTTTATACATATTTGTTTTCATGTTGTTTTCCTCATTAGATTGTAAGCTTCTGGAGGTTAGGGACTGTCTTTTGCCTCTTTTTATATCCTTATCACTTAGCGCAACCTTTGAACATAGTAGGCATTTAATAAGTGTTTATTGATTTACTGATTGAAGACACCTAACTACATTAAAAATGCCTGTTTTCCAGATTGTGATAAACAATTGGCTGACTAAACCAATCCCTAGAATTGCTTAGTCGGTATATATCAGATTTTTCAGACAAACAGTGTATGAACATGGACTGGGTCAAGAATTGAAAAGGGGGAAGAGAATTGGTTGGATTATCTTTCAGAAATTAAACAGGGCTTTTAATTATATTATGCCTATCCTTGAGACAATGACCTGTCGTTTTAATAGCAGTAATTTGCTGGTGATGTTGTATGGCTACAAATAATGCAACACCACAGTCTCCGAAAAATTAAAATTGAGGTTTGCCCAAGGGAAATGAAACTGTACATGGTGGGTACAAGGGGGTCTCAGTACATTAGTAACAAATAATTGTGCAAGAGAAGTAGTGTAAAGGAAGTCATTTGAGAGATTATGACTGCATGAAAAAGTAGTTTAGTCATGTAGCAAGATCAAGGCATAGGTGATAGACAACTAACAGGATCTATTGATATCCACGTGTCATAAGAGCTAGAAGAAAGCCTTGATCATGTTTGACCCCACTGGAAGATTTGTGGAAGGATATGAACAAGAGTTAAACATGATTAGAAGGCATTTATGGGTTGTAGCCCATTATTAGAGTGAGTACCTGTTTCAACAAGATCAAAATTGTGTGTGTATGTGTGTGTGTGTGTGTGTGTGTGTGTGTGTGTGTGTGTGTGTGTGTGTGTGTGTGGCTATTTGGCTGCATGAATGATGGAATCCTGTAGTCTCTAAAGAATTAAAATTGCAGTTGAGCAAATTAACAGTGGAGGAAAATACCATGAATATAAGAGAAGTGGCATCAAAATGTCATCTACATTGTATATGACCAGAAAGAATGTAGGCCAGTGATATAACAGCCTTCTAGCTATTCCAGAGCAAGACACTCCATCTCTTGGCTCTGGGCATTTTCTCTGGTTCTGTCCCATGCCTAGAATGCTCTCCTTCTTCTGCTCTGACTACTAACCTATTTAACTTTCTTTAAGTCCCAGCTAAAATCTCACCCTCTATGAGAAGCATCCTCAACTCCTCTTAATCTCCATACCTTCTCTCTGTTAATTATTTCCTATTTATTCTGTATATAGCTTGCTTTGTATCTGTGTTGTTTGTTTACATGTTGTCTCTCCATTAGATTGTAAGGTCAATGAGGGCAGGGATGGCTCTTGTCTTTTTTCTTTTTTTGGTATCCTCAGCACGTAGCACAGTTCCTGGCACCTAGTAGGCACTTAATAAATGTTTGTTTATTGATTGATGCAATGAAAACAAAGGAAATAGATAGCCCATATTCTGTACTAATAAACATGTAATATTAAAAAAAAAACCTATAGAAAGCCCTTAGCAGTCTGTATAAAATTCTCACAGAGAATTTGTGGGATTCATTGGATGAGAATTATGGAAGATGAGAACCACAGAGTAATAAATTTGGAAAGGATTTAGTTTTCTATCTAGTACAATATAAAAAACTATTACAATAACTATATGTTACGTTATATATAATATATTATCATATATATTATATGTGATATATTAGAACTATGTATTATATATGTTATATATTATAACAACTATGATAGCTATTATCACAGCTGTCATAACTAAATACTTTTGTAACTAAGTAATGACTATTAGCTGGCATGTATCCCTATTATATTTAGTTAGATTGTATACATACTATGTATTTCAGAGATGATTGGCAACCTTTTCATTGTCTTCTAAAAGCCTATGTGAAACAAATCAATGAAATTTGAGTCATAGACTCAAAGTAATTTGGAAGGCACCTTGGGGTTTTTCTAGTCCAATCTAAACTTGAATAATCCAGATTCCATTTGAATTCCACTGCCTTTGAGAAAGTCGTGGTCTTTTCAGAGAGTCCTTCTAAATTTTGGACAACTTATATTTGATTGTTAGAATTTCTCAAACCAACAATAATTTGCACTAATTTGCAATATAATGATTTGAAAATTTGGAAATAGTGTTTATATTACCACATATATAATATCTACATATAACAAGATTTAATAAATTTATATATATATATATGTATTTATTTATTCATTTAGTAAATCTGCCTACATGCCAATATAAACTACCCCAAGTTCAAATTAGATTCACTTTCTTACTATTTCCTTTCATAGCAAAACCTGCAGAGCCTCACAGGTTTCTTCTAGTAAGTTATTTCTTCTGCTTAGCTTAATATAGGCAACTCAACATTTGCATTACTATTATCCCCCTTTCAAAGTGTGTTTTAAATGGTAGGGCCCATCTGGCAGTTCATGTACATCAGTAAGCCATCTCTGACAGGTTTTTCATATGACATTTCCACTAGTGTGCATCATTGTAAATTTGCCTGGGGGATATTAGAGATTTGAAAATAATAATTAACTTGATTCTCTGTTGCTGTACTATCATTTCCTTTAATTAGCACTACAGCTGTAGCCACATAGTAAAGCACAAAGTAAAATGGAGATTTTATAGTTATCTTGTGTTCTTGATTAATGTAGATGTCTACACTGTATAATTCTACCCTTCCTCATAAGTATCATTGGTTCATTTATAGAGTTCAGTTCCTTTTAACTTTACTTAAAGTTGACACAATTATTTAAAGACTCAACCTGAAAAGACATGAATCAATTTAATAAATTTTCTTCTTTAATTTTTCCTACTAAAGTGATTCTGAAGAACTGACCTGTCAAAACCTAGGAACAATTATTGTGGAAACATCCCAAAAAGTCAGTGCAAGAAAAAATGAAGGGCAGCAGACAGAAGGACAAGCAGAAGAGAAAGAAATTACATTAGCCATAGGAAGTCCAATCAAAAAGGTATATAATATAGCTTTATCTATTTATAAGACCTATTTTAATAGTCCTTAAAACTTCTTTAAGTTGCCTATTACCTGACGTCATGATTAATGATTTTAAGCTTAATTATGTTCCTAATTTAAAAATTCTCTTCAAAAGTCATGCAATAAAGGTTAAAATTAATTGTATCATATATCGTAGTAATGCTTTATCTGTAAAGCATTAGGTAAAGACAAATTTGTCACAGATTTTTATTAATAATTGAATTAATAATTGAAAATAATGAAAATAATTGAAAAAAGCAAAAGAAAAAGAGCTAACCCATCTATGGAAAGAGAAGGAAGATGTGGAAAAAGACAGAACTATTCTTGAATTCAAGATCAGGGAGCTGAAGATGGAAATCAAGGCCCTACGAAAGCAAGTAGTGCTCATAAATTTTATTCTTAATTATATTTAATGTTTTCTACCTAATGAGCACCTCAGTTAAGGGTCCTCATTAGGTAGAGAACATATGCACTCACAAAGTATCATTTTTAGCTGCATTTAAACATAAAACAATAAATATTTATTCTTCTGTAGGCAACTTAGTTTATTTTGTTTCCTTTGGAGCACCTTAGCAGTGACATGGACTTTTTTTTCTAAAAACACTACCTTTTCTCCCTATCCTTCCAGTCAGTCAGGAAGCATTTTTAAAGCACTTACTATATGCCTCAGTGCTGGGTATGTCAAGAAAAGCAAAAAACCCCCAAAACTCTAAAACCAAAAAACAACTTGGTCTCTGCCCTCTAGGGGCTCACTTCTAAAAGTAGGAAGTGAAAAACATTTAAACTACAGCTTACATAATAATAATTACTAATACTTTATCGATGCACTACCATGTCTGCCCTTTTAGCACAAAACAAGTTAGAAGATAAATGTTTTCTTTTGCCCTGAGTACTAGATTGTTCTTTCATTAAAACTCTAGGAAGCTATGCTCTTTAAAGCTCTTTTATACCTGATTGTTTAGCTGACCCAGACTGACTTCTTGAGGGTTATCTTAGCATATGAAAAGGGAGCTTTTAAAATGTTTGCAATTGACCAGGGGCACAAAAAGTTTATAGTTGCTTAGAGTTGATAAACACTTTCATAGATCATCTAGGCTGTCTCACACTTCATCAAAAAATCCCTACTAGAGCAGCTCTTTCAGATGATCATCAGCTTCTAGCTGAATGCCTCAAATAATGGGGACCTCACTGTTTTCTATGGGCAGCCCATTCCGTTTTTGCACAGCTCTAATAATAATTAGATGAAGCTTTTTACTGTTCAAATAAAAAGAAAATCTTTACTTTCCAACTTTGTTCCTATTTGAGCTTTGCAGTTGCCATCCTCACTATACCTGGAATGCACTCCCCTTTTATCTCACCCTATTGGAGTCCCTTTGTTATTTTAAGATGCAGCCCATGCACCATCTTCTGCATGCAACCTTTCCTGATGCCCCAACTGCTGGTGCCTTCCCTTCTAAACTACTTTATACTTAATAGACTGCTAGACTACTTCATATATAGTCATATTTATAAATGTTCTATTTATACTGTATATACATGTATATATGCATATATACACACATGTATATGTGTGTTTATGTGTGTACTTGTTGTCTCCTCCATTTTAATGTGAACTCATTGCAAGTATATTTAGTTACCTCCCATTTGGGCTCAGGAAAATAAATCTAATCCACTTTCCATATGGCAACCTTTCAAATCTTTGAAGACAGTGGGTATGGCCATGCTTCCCACTTAAAGTCTTCTCTGCTCAAGACTAAATATTTCCAGTTCCTTCAGATGTGCATCGTAAAAGATGATTTGGAGTCCCAGAAAAATGCCTTATACACAGTAGGTGGTACTTATATACTTGTCGTATTTAATTAAACTTGATCACAAATATAACTTGATACTTTGGAAGGCTCAACAAATATTCCTGTCTACTAATTTGTGATTGCTAACAGATACTACTTCATTGAAGAATTTTGTCCTTGTAAATAATATAGACAAATAATGTATTAAATATAATTATTAAGTACAATTAAGTCTTTTCAATTGACCTATACCCTATTTTATTTATTACATGGTATGACTATGGAATAATATGAATGTCTTTTTAAAACATGCATATTAGGATATGTACATCCAAGAGAGTGTTGTATCCTTGAGGCTATATTTTGTACGGTAGAAAGTACTCTGTATTTGGAGTCAAAGGTCCTGTGTTTGAATTATACCCCTGTGCTCTGCCTTGAGTAAATTGCCTGATGTTTCTGGGTTTCTCCTCTATGAAATGAAAGAGTTGAACTCCATTTTTAAATGTTATGATTTTAAAACATTTTTGGAGCTTTTCTCTTGAAATTTACTTTAGTCTATGAGACATTCTTTTTAACCTTGGAGGATGAAATTGGTTTTTCTAAATTGCTAAAATTAATTTTCTGCTCAGTCTGGTGATTAATGGAGACAGCTGATTAAAATAGGCAGTACTGTTTTGAGTAATAAATAATATGTGACCATACAATAAGTACTATTTCCTTGTGTGGATTTAAATGGGCTCTGGGAGTTGTGCCAAAAGAGTAGCTCCAAAATTTTGTGCGCAATGGTAACATGATTGGAGAAGGTGCAGAGGGTCACAGGGTAATTAGTTATTTTGAAGGAAAACCTTCACTGGTTCCAAGATATAAAAAAAAAAAATCAGCTTTGTGACTTTACAGTAACACTTTACATTTAATCATTCATTTTGTTTGTCTACTATCTATAAAGTGTACAACCCATTGTCACAATGAGAATTTATGTCAACATTCTTTATTTTATGGTATTCAGTGGAACTCAATACATTACAGGTAGCATGCATGTATCAGGTAATGTGCAGTTATTTTAGATCAGACAGTGCCTTTTTTCCTCTGCTAAGAATTGATCTTAAAAATAAATGTCACACCTTAAAGTTTTAAAATACCTTTTTCCTCCTAATGACTTCCAAGAAATGTTTTTTTATGGCAATATGTCTTCAAACATGCAGCCTAAACTAAAATACTTTACTCATTGATATATTCCGGAGTTGAGGACTTCAGAGAATTTCTAATTTATGAGAAGCAATCTTTTTTTACATTGAATTAATTTTTATGCCAAAGCAGAAAAGCAAAAAAACTCCCCCCAAAATAAGCACCTAACTAAAATTTCCCATTTTAAAAAAATCCCACCACAGTAATATTCATTCCTGTTTTAAAGTTTTAAGACGTGTTCACAGCTATGTCTGTCTGTGTCCTTTTAAATTCGTTTTTGGAAAGTAATATTTATTATTGAAGAGAAGTTTTGGAAAGAAAGGCAATATAGCTTTGTTTTATTTAATCTTAGTATGTTATCATCAAGGATGTGTGGAGAAAAGTATGCTCCTTGAGGGATAGTCATTTATTTACCTGTACACATTACTTTACCTTTAAACTATAAGTAATAGAGAGTAGTGATTGAATTGCTTTCTTAATTTCTTTATGATTATTTTCCCCTTCTGTGCTGATAAAAATTTCAAGAATCTGTTGTTTTCATAATTCATATGAATTATCTTTTTTGCATCTTGCATTGACATCTGAAAGTCTCATACTACTACTTGAAGACAATTCTTGATTATCCCTGGCATTCGAGTACATGGGCAATTGAAATGAACAGATTATCTTTAAAAATCAGTTCAGTTAATAGTTTCAATCTCTTCCTCCTGCTGTGACTGGTAACTAAATAGAACAACTGAAATTTCATTTCCTCTATTTGCCCAGGTCCACTGCTGACATCACAGTGAAATATCCAAGGAGTGGTCAGGCAGGATTGAAAAGAGGAGTGATGGATTGATACACCCAGAATCAAAATAATTAAAGTCTCACAATACATTTTATTTTAATACTTTTCACATTTGGTCCTACATTTCTTTAGAAGTCCTTAAAGTTCTTTCTGGAAAATTGACTTGACCTTCTGCTTGCTAGTTGAATTTCTAGTTCTAACCAATAAATTCTGGTTCTGGGCAAGAACAACATACTATTTTGCTAATTTTTTTTCATATTTATCTGATACGAATTTTATTTGCTCTTCATATGTTTTAAGTAAGTAAAATAAAGTATAGTTTTTATTTTATTTAACCACAGTTTTTGAATACTAATCTAATTTGTATGAGGCTTTTAAATTCAGGATATCAATAATAAGAATTATAGAAGATCATCTTTGAAGAAGAAGAAAACTAGTGCTTTGAGGAGTGCATATGCACCAGCCACTATTAAAGGTGAGAATGTATTGAAATTGCATAACTGTCATTTTAAATTTTACAGGAGACTAAAAACCATCATTTTACCACATTGTTTGTTTAGTTAACAAAGAGAATGAGAACAATGTAAACTTCACGAATCAGTAGTACATGTACAAATTGCATCCATGCAGCAGCAAATCAGTATGCTACAGGATTTGAAAAAGTCTACTGAAGCTTCTGTTAAGGAATTGAAAGAAGCCAATGAAAAGCTTGAGCAGCAACAGCAAATAACTGATCAAAAACTTCAGACTACCAAACAAACCATAAAGGTAAAGATAACTTCAGTGATAAGTTGTATCATAAGATAGTGACAAAACTGCATATTTTATTTACAATATTGTTTACCTCACATTTATGCAATTTACATATGTATAAATCTGTTTTTCAGTAATTTAAGTAGTTGTACTACTAGATTTATTTAATAAAGGAATGCACACAAGAAGGAAGTTGCATGGGGAATAGGAGGATAAGTACTAATTAAAGAAGACAATATGATTCTATTAGCTTTGAGTTTCATGTTCTATTTTACATTTGTATGTTTTGGTCCTCTTCCATAGTGGTTTTGGTCTTTATTCTGTGTTACATCTGAGTTTATGAGTTAATTAATATACTGACGTATTTACTTTTTGTATGAAAATAGTAATTTGAATCACATTAATTTTAACCTAAATATCTAACTTAATTTGATCGTATTAAAATGGACCTTGTTTGGAGCTTAAAGCTCTTCAAAACCTCTCTCCTTACCTTTCCAATTTGGTACACTTTTTTTCCCTTTTCATGTCCTCTGCAATCTAACTCCACTGGCATATTACCTGTTCTGGCACACAACACTACATCTTCCATCTCTGTGCTTTGGCACAGGCTGTCTGTCGTTCCTGAAATGTTCTTCATCCTCCCATCTGTCTGCCTCTTTGAATTTCTGACTTGCTTTAAAACTCAAGTCCAACCACCCCTTCATTCCCCTTCCTTCTCCTCAGCTGCTGGAGCCTTCCTCTCCATGTTTATTTGTATAGACCTATATACATCCTGTTTCCCCCACTGGAAATGAAGTCCATGTGGTTAGGGACTGGGTGTGTTATTCTTATTTTTTAATCGGAATCTAGCAGTATCAGGCAACCCAGTAAGTGCTTGAAAGATACTTGTTGATTAACTGACCTATTCAGTTGAGCTGATCCTTGTGCATATTCTAATTCAGTCATAAAGCAATTCAAGATTTTTCACCAAAGGAAAGAATTATTCCTATTAAATTCTCAGGGAAAGATACAAGGAAATTGTTACTTCATTTTAAAACAACCAGTACTTTGGCTTTACTCTATTGTCCAGTATTTTGTTTATTATGACTAGGAAAAGCATGATTAACAAATCTCTTAATTGCATAGGATTAGTCTTGGACTAGCAGTGTCTGTACCCTAGTTCTGTCCCGTGTTTAAAATTGTAGCTTATCTGTACCCAGGTCTCAAACTGTTACTGGAAGGTTAAGGACATGTCACCCAAGGTGGCCAGATGACCCACTGTTAGTGAGAGGGCTGGTCCCATGCTTGAAGTCTGGAGAGGAGTACTGGACAGGATCAAGTTCTGTGTCACTAGTTAGATGACATAGTTAGAGTTACAGCCCCTAGTTGTTCCCAATTCTGTTTATAAGTCAGGGGAGCCTGATCCCACTTGGAGCTGAAAGCTTACCAGAGCTTCAAAACGTCTGATATGATGATAATTTTTCTTACTCTATTTTCACTTAAGGCCATAGTCATTTGGTCTTACTTTCTCAAAACTAATGAAAAGTTTTAAAAATGGGATGACTGTTAGAAACATAGATGTAAGTAGAATGTAATACAAAATATATGGCTTAGAAGAAGCTTGAGGTTTGAACAAAAGAACAATTTTCTCCATCCAAGATGGAACAGAAGCATATTTTGTTTGGTAACTGAAAATTGGCAGGCAGGTCACTTGCCTTTGACCTGCTTACAACTTGATGCATTGTGAGCAAAAAAAGATAAAAGAGTAGAGCAGGGCTTTCTGGTTGGCAGCAGCCATCAGGCAGGCTAACTGTGAGCCAGGATGGGGGCCTACAAATACATCCAGGAGCTATGGAGGAAAAAGCAGTCAGATGTCATGCGGTTCCTCCTGTGCATTGCCACTGGCAATACTGCCAGCTGTCTGCCCTGTACCAGACCCAACAAAGCATGCAGACTGGGGTACAAGGCCAATCAAGTTTATGTCATCTACCATATTCGTGTTTGCTATAGTAGGTGAAAGCATTCAGTTCCCAAAGGTGTAACCTATGATAAACCTGTGCATCATGGTGTCAGTCAGATGAAGTTTGCCAGGAACCTTCAGTCTGTAGCAGAAGAACATGCTGGCTGCTGCTGTGGGGCTCTAAGAATCTTGAACTCCTACTTGGTGGGTGAAGATTCCATCTACAAATTCTTTGAGGTTATTAGTATTGATCCATTCCATAAAGCTATCAGATGAAACCTGGACACACAATGGATCACCAAGCCAGTGCACAAAGAGATGCGTGGGCTTACCTCAGCTGGCCAGAACTGCAGGGGTCTTGGAAAGGGTCACAATTTCCACCATAGCATTGGAGGATCTCGTCATGCTGCTTAGAGAAGGTACGATACTCTCCAACTTTATTGATACTGCTAATTGGTGCACATTAATTTGTAAACTTAAATGTTCAATAAACAAAATTTAAGATGGAAAAAGAGTAGTGCAGGAATTAAACTAAAAATCTATATGATGTGTGTACATTTTTTTCCCCTTCTCAGCAACCAATTCTAATTCTCTTTCTCACAACTAATTACTCTTGAGGTGTTGTACTAGTGCTACCAAGTGGGAAATCCATGTTTTAAACAGAGATTTGGGCTATCCGCCAAGTGAAAATTAAGGAGGTAAAAAAAATAAAAACAACAACAAAAAACTATTCTCCTCACAGCAGGGTTCATGTACACTTTAGAGAGTATGGTGGTTCAGCTGATCAGATGACTTGTGATCCACATTCTTTAGAGAGTATGGTGGTTCAGCTGATCAGATGACTTGTGATCCACATTCTTCTTTGAACATGGGGTAGGATAGCTATCCAAAATGAATTAGGCCAGTCATTGGAAACCTCAACCTATTACAAAATAAATGCCATACTTATGCTATTGTGCAATAAGTGGTCTTAAATTTCCATTAAAATCTCCCCTGGGTTAGATATATTTTTCCTAGTTATGGAAATATACAAGAAATGGTGAAGAGAGGAAAAATGACCTTTGAAAATGATATTGCAATATTTTCACTTTAAAATTGACTACAAAACTAATTCAGACTATTTCACCAACTATGAGATGGCCAAATAAATATGACTTGTAATTGACTAAAATTACGTTTCTTTATAATATTCTGTCCACTTAAATAATATAGTAAAATTCTAAAATCATTGGTTTCTTCCCCTGATGAACTAGTATTTTTAAGGAACTTGAAATCAAAAAAAGCATACCAGTATTAGGTACAGACAGATTTATTCTTCAGTCAGTATTTTATTGTAATATTTGAGGCCTGTAACATTAAAAATGTAGCCCATGATAAAACATTACAAATATTCATTTGTCAACATATTTTGTAGCTTATTGAACCTGAGGTTTGGGGTATCTTTTGATCTCAATGAAATTTTTTAATCAAAGAAACATAGAATTTATTGTGAGAATTTGGTGAATTGTTGTTGAATTACATCATTCTCTTTTTTGCCTCTTGAAATTACCAACAGTAATTCAGGTAATTTTGTCCAGTCAAGTGTCTTTCTTTTAGTGCTAGAATAATTGTCTGTTTAAGACATAATAATATTGAAGTTATTCCCCATTATTGAGTCAAGTTTCTGTTTATCAGCCGGTTAAGAAGCTTTTCATTCAATGTACAGTTGTGCAATTATTTAATATTGATTCCAGTCTTTTACAGTAACATACAGAATATAATCAAAGAATTTCTTAAAACTCAAGAAAGCCGTTATTTTAGGACTGTTAGCTTTCCACGTCCTTTCAGTTAAAAAGCATTATGGTGACAGTGGTTTATCAGAGCATGCTTTAAAACTTTTGGTATTAATTATATTTGAAGAACAAAACTTACTACGTGTAGAGCAAATTCTTATAGAACAGTCTGTGTGCACTACTTCATGGGCTAACATACTAAAAAAAAGTTAAGCATTTTTTTTACTTTAACAATTACTCCTTATAGTTTTAGACAAAAATGCCATACAATCCTACTAAAATGCTTATAAAGTAATCTTGATCAAATGAATTCTTTGGGTTTGGATCAGTTTCTGTATTTTAAAAAAATGCTGCATTGGCTGAGTGATTTACGAAACAACATTTGCAACCTAGAATAGAACTAGTTTACAGGCACAAAGTGATAAATTCAGAATAAGACAGATAAATGACTACAGTACACTATCATTTTTGTCCTTTTATGTGATGTCATGAGTCATCATTAGGATGTTCCCATTATCATGGGATAAGGTAAAAACAAAAGTCATCTCAAATAATTAAAAAACTGAATGTCAAGTAAGAAGTGGGATTTAAAAACATTCATTCTTTGTAAGAAGTTAAAAGAATTTAATGCCCATTGAGTATATTAAGACTGAGTGACTTTATTTTACATAAATTCAACAATTTTATGTATTACATATGTTTTCTGAAAATAAATACTTAATAAAAATATTGAATTGTCTTTCTTGGCATATTAAACATTCTACATTATTGCAAAAGCAAACCAGAAGGGTTAAAACCAGAATATATAAGCTGACCTTTCAGAGTTTGCAAGTACAGGCCTTGACAGGTAGGGCCTCACTAATAAGTGAACTAAAGCACGTGCAAGTGTGAGGCCAGAGTCTTCACAAGAACTAGGTGTAAATGCCATTCTCTTCTGTTAGGATCACATTGCCTAAGTATTGTGTCTTTAGAGACCCTTTTCTCAACATAAAAGCATCATCAAATCAGTTCCAAGAGCAGGATCTGACAAAGACAAACAAGAAGAGTACATATTTTAAGGGAAAATACAACTTTATACATTAACTGGATCTTTAATAATGATAGATAATGAGTTTCACATCATTTAGTTCTGTGAAATTTAGTTTATAGAAAAAAAATTTCTCATAAAAGTCATTTTGTTTAAGTAACTTTAGAAATTATTTTCATATACTTTCTTATTGTGATTGAGTGAATTTTTTGATAATTTATTCCTTTAAAAATAATATTTTTCAGGCTTTTTACATAGGAGGAGATTTGACAACAAA